TTTTTATTTCCTCTGAGAAGCGTGGGATGCCTGTTTCCAGCAGGAAAATAATTGCACTGACTGTCTCCAACAGTATGTTAGCTCAAAAGAGGATAAGATTGAAAACAAAATATAGATGCTGCAATGTTACTGTAGTTTACTTCATCTAAATACAGAACATTGCATTTTAAAGGCAGTTTATACTTCAGGTTGAAGGAAAAAAGTAATCATGGTGAGTAACTGCATTAATCTCTGGTTAGCTTCCCCAAATAAATGACTTGTCTATAACTTCAAACCTTACTGATTAGGAGATCTTCTATTTTCTTATTGCACTAGAGAAATCAGACAGCCCACACAATTACTTCTTTTAGATCTTCTGAAAAAAATGAATGTAAGAAGCACTGGGAGGTGCTAAAATGTGGGGAAAAATGGAGTACCAAGTTCCAAGTATGTAAGATCATAAAACATACTGTTTACATTTTTTTCTGAGGATAGCATTAATGAATAATTTATCTCTGCATGGATTATAGGAACAATTTAAGACATCTTATTTTAAAGTATTTTCATCCTTGCCAATCAAATTTAGAATTGCACTTACACATTATATAAAGAGAAGAACTATGATGAAAGTGGTACAAAAGATGTTTTAAAAAGGAATCTGTTAAACAAACAAACTTGTTTGACACTTTGTTAGAGGAAAGTTAGATTTAGGCACATGCTAAGTGATCTAACTAATCTTTTACTGGAGATGTCTTAGGCCAATTTTCTAAAGGATGAGAAAAGCCTTGCTGATGAAGAAAATGGTCTTATGAAGAGTTTATTTCAGGCAGTAGTGTTTAGTATTCTATTAATTTACTGATTTTAGATGAGATTGAGTGTAAAAATAACAGTCACTATTGGTTAGGTTTGGGACAGGAAGGGAGATAGTATTTGGCTTTTTGCCCTATGTCATGACTTCATGGGGAAGTGAACCTTTGCACTGCCCATCAGAGTGACAACCTAAAGGCTCCTTCAATGGCCATAGAATGATGAAAAATCAATTTCCATAAAATCAAATCAAATTTAATTCCCAACTCTAAAACCTGGTGAGGAACTTGGAAAAGCTTTTCCTGCATTGCAGAAATGCTTTATACAATGGAAGACATACATGTATAAGGTCTTAGCTGACCAAGTGGGTTAGAGTTTTACAACAGTTTTGCTCTCACTGAGACTCAGAGATTTGCTGGAATGTTCCAGCAATTAGGAGCAATTAATGGAATTTGAAATATAAAGCTCATTGCTCTCATAACTCACATGACTAGCTCCCATTCAGAAATTTCAGAAGCATCGTGAAAGTTTATGGCAAAGGGTGCTATAACACCTGTGGTTTCTTCACAGAGGTTAGAAAAGAACTAGTTTCTTTTCTCTTTTAGGTCTTAATTGTCACTCATCACTACCACTGTGTGAAATCGTGTCCTAGTGACTGAAAATGTTCATGAATTCACTGGGTGAATTTCCCCCAAAATAAGCACATAATTAGATAACAATCTGTATTTCCAACATAGTCTGTGGTGAAATGAGACTATGAAGGCTTTGATCCAGCATGAATGTCATATTTTTCAATACATAACATTATAGAAGAGCATTCTTTCTCCTTATGCATTACATTTTTATCTGCCACATTGATAGGCTATCGGCTTGTCTTCTTGAATTAAAAACCTGTGAACAAAATAGCTATAGGGTGTGATCCACCCCTTATATCATCTGCAATATGTAGTCTGTCTTTAATAAATTAGTGCTTAGCGCTGTCAGTGTGACTCTCAAAATTAATTTCTAGAAGGTTCCTCTACCTGTCTGAAGATTAACCTCTAACTGCTACGGATGATCAATGTTAGCTATTACCAATAAGTAACAAAATCAGCCTTAGATATAACAAGGATATATTTTTTTTCCCCACACAAAAGAAAAAAGAACTTGATTATTGCAAATGTGATAGAAAGAGATTTGGCCAACAGCTGGAGGAAGAGAATGAAAATTAAATCTCCTGGTTCTGATCCTTCCCTTTTTCTGATTAATATTGGACGTATTTTGTATGAATGGATGAGAAAAAGATACAGCACTGGCATTTTCATGCTTAAAATGCTTTACTGCCTTTAGCTCTGAGTTAAATGCTCCTTACCTACAGTGTCTGAAGAAAGTTAGAAGTCTAAAATTCTTAGCTGACTGCACAAAAACATAGGTCATAGGTTTTCTCCGCTGGCACTCAGAAAGTAAAAGAAGCTCAGGAGAAAACAGGGGTTCAGCTTCCCAAGATGCAGTGCGCTGACATCTGGGATAGAAGGGGTTGTCAGGGGCCCTAGCTTTCTCCCACGGTTGGATGCCCCACATGGGTTTGCTTTTCTTGCACAAGTGGTGTTGGAGTCTGGGGGGATCAATGTTCTGGTCCTCCTGAAATTCCTATCAGGAAAGGGGAGATTCTGGGTTTCCATTCCAGTACCATGTCGGGGGAGTAGCAGAAGCCCCCTCTCCCCAGTCGAACGTGCCAGATGCCGGTTTGCAGTGGGCACCACCATCAGACGGATCCTGCTGGTGTTTTCTGTGTGTGTCCCTGCTGGACTGACCAGCAGGAAGAGTAATGAAGATACATCCAGGTTTTTGTTGGTGATTTAGACTCTGAACTTCTTGCCCTTTCAGGGCCTGTGTATTTGCAGGCATATCCAAAAGCTCCCCCTGGAAGTTTAAGTTTACAGAGAATGTGTTGACCAGGGTTATACAGCAGCTGCAAGGGTATTTGAAAGGCTTAAATTTTGTACCTGAATCCCCACTGCAGCGTTTAGCCCTAAATACCTCTTTTCCCAGGAACACTTTTTGTTCAGTAACAGAGCTTTATGCTTTCCTGTCCCTTCTGATCCTGGTGATAATGTACCACACATGAAGTTTAAGAAGGATTAAAATTTCTCTTTCAGGTATTCAGTGAACCTTCCAAATTCAGCATTTTTGTTGGCTTATTCTGCTGGAAAAAAAGATAACTAAGTAGAAAACCAGCCAAAATTAGTATCTCAGCAAATGCCTCCATGTTCAAGAAGCAAATTTACCTAATTGTTAGGTCCCAGTTGTTCTAAGTGAGCCAATAATCAGAAATTAATAAACAGCTAACTCATTCCTAGTGGAGACTAAATGTAGATCTAAACAAGGAAACCTAAACTGAAATGTTGTCATGGTGATATACAGGAAACTAAGCAAGCAGTGCAAAGCTCCTCTTCCTAGGAGACCTGAGAGACTAGCTCAAATTTTCATCTGTCATGGTTAATTTATCATTTCACTGAAACAGTTGTCAACATGCAAACTAAAGGCTTGTAACAGGTACTTTTTGGTTTTGAGGACACAGCAGATTTGGTTTCCAAATCACAATTTCAGAGTCAACCTTGCTTAAAGAGGGGAAAAAAATGATGAAACTTTTGCAATTTTATTTTTTACTATTTACAAGGGCAATTAAATATTGAGATTACTTCCTCTTAAGTATGTCATCATGAGACCACATACTGTGCTGTGTTTGACATATTGATTTCTTCAAGAAAAGAAACAATCAAAGTAGATCCTTGCAAAATTTATGCATGCACACGGTTAAATTAAAAAGCTGGTGGTCACAGGACAAAAGAGACTTAAGTGTTACCAGTCCTGGGGCTACTGCTTTTATGGAAGGGAAAATAAGGACTCACCATCAGCATGTGACTTAATACACGTCAGTTAATAAAGTATTGTTTTTCAAGTAATTTAAGCCTTTAAAATTCTTTATTTTCAGTGTTCCATGCACTAACTTAGTTATTAAAGACAAGCTATTGGATTTCAGTGTTTGTTGGGTTAAGCTCTTACTCTGAATTAGTAGTATATGACTACTAACTGGTAAATAGTTGAGCTTCAATTACTTAATAAGTTAATTTCCTGTCTCAGTAAACACAAGAAAGTATGGCAAATGCCAGGCTAAGCAGAACATCTGGTCATTTACATCTGAATCTCTTAAGAACAATGCAAGAGTTCACAAAAATGGCTACAAATTAATTCTATTTAATTAATTGGAGGTATACATGATTACATTAAAATAAATGAGTTACACTACCTTGATTTATGGTTTCCTTTTAAACTTAGATAGACAGCAGGATACAAGACTAAAACTAGGGAAGACATCATTGCTTTGATATAAACTGAGATGCCACAAGTAGTTCAGCACCACGATAAGAACTTTGTTTGCTCACCTTCACAAACAGTCTAAAAAAAGCACAGTAATGACAGCAAAGTACAGACACTACTCCTGATTATTCTTTGCTCTCTTAAACCAGTGGGATGCTGCATGAGGGTGGGGAGCGTCAAGCCCAGGCATGTGAAGCACCCTCTGGGAGGTAAAGTGAACAAAGTGGATCTGGGAACCTCGCTTTGCAAGACATTCTCCACCTATCCGTAATTATCTCAGTGGGAGACAGCTGTGACCATTAGGCAGTCCGGAATCACAGGATGTGAGTGGTGAGTAGAAAGAGGAAGGTCCTTAGAAGTTTGTGTCATGATACTTCATTTCAGAAATGTTGGCGTTAAACAAATGTGTGAGAAGGAAAATACCCACAGACTATGAAGGAACATCCCTGGCATGAGGTTTAGGTGGCATTTCTGATCGAAGTGGCATGTACTTTTGTTGGCTTTTCTAATATTTTATTTTATTTCTTACAGAAAATTATTACAGTTGCATTACCTGTGGCTTCCTATTTTTTTTTCTCTATTGAGCCTTTATGATTTTTAAAGTTTATGAATTATTAAATGCATCCTTTATATAAATACAATTAAAAAGGTATTACTGTATTTTTCCCAGTCACAGCCATAGTTAACAACAACCTTTCTGTTTTATTTTGAAAGTTGTACAAATGCCTGGAGAAAAATAATCATTGCCTATTAATACCTCAGGAAGCCAAAATTCATGCTTATATTAAAAGGAAGATCTACAAACTGACTGCCCATATAATGTACCATTTCATGGAGCAAAGCCGTGCATTTACCCCTTTTATGTAGAAGAATACTGGCATGTCGACGTCCATTTCCATTCTCAACGTAGCACGAGTAATTCCCCAGGTCTGCCTCTTCCACAGAGTCAAGAATCAATGAGATGGAAACCTCCTGTTCCCCGAGATGTTCCTTGAGAACCCTGAGGAAAAAGCAACCATCGCTGCTATTCTGCTTGTACCATAGCAAAGCATTAGATAATCATGACATAATAATGCTACTTACAATTCACAACTCTCTGGCTTCAAATTTGGCTATGGTTTGATGAAATCTTAATTAAATTATATCATGCCCTTTTCTTCCTCACTTCTAATGAGGAGGTTTGGCTTTGTAAATGTTAATGAGAGCTTCAGTTAATTGTCTTCTTTAAGCCGAATGATGTGCACACTGATAATATACTATTCCACACTCTGATGGAGACCCTGATCAGTAGTATATGAAGTCTTAAAATGTTAGAAGAGAGAAAAGGGAAAACAGTTCTTTTGGAGTTCAGGGTTGCATTAGGGGGCTAGGTCAAACACACTATTTGTGCAGTTTCTGAGGCTCTTCAACATGTCACTCAGAAACGGTATGTTTATGTCATGGCCTAAAAAAATTGTTTCCTGAAGGTTTTATAAAATTTGACTGTGTATTACAAAGCAGTAGAAAGAACTGGCATATGAGAGAACTGGAATCTCTTCTGATCCAGGTAGATAATTCCTATCCGATAGGAGTTGGTATGCTATGTCAAGCATGCAATTCTCAATACAAACCCACTTATTTCTTAATTTCCAAATGAGGCAGCACTTTAAGAAGAACTAAAAGAACATGATGCGAATTGCCAGATCTCCTCTAAACCAAGTATTTCAGTAGGTATAAGCAGCTCACATAACAGCATGCTTGGTTGTCACAGGCCAGATATCATCCCAGGAAACTCACTTTTTTCCCTCGAAGAAAAGAAATTAAGACATTCCAAGAGAAACCAGACCAGCATTTACATAAGGCTCCATGTTTTAAAAGACTTCTTTTGAGCTGTTTTCCTTGCTGTATTTCTTTTTCTTTATCTCATCTTATTAGTTGATTCTTATTGTAGCTTTTCACAGCTTGAAAAAGTAACTATGCAAGCTCCAGTTGGTTATACCACAGTACCTGTTGGGCAGCTATTCTGCTTTTGCATCTCTCTAACATCAGAACTGGCCGAAGTGTGCATTTTTCTGTTCTCTACTGGTGGAGTTCAAAAAGGTAAATAATGGACCTTGCAAAAACAGGGATCAGAACCAAAGTGTTCCTGAGTGAGTCTGTGGTAACAAATACTACATTAACTATCAAAAAAAGATAATGACTGAAAGAAACAAAATGCTTTTTCTTTTACCTAATGTCACTTTCCCAGACTCGACTATCATCCAAATCTTCAATAAACTTCTCCCCTTTCATCCAGTAGATTAAAGGACTGACATCTCCACTATATCCAAAGAAAGCTCGGCAGGTTAGATTAGCAGAACCACCTGTTCAAAAGAATGTAAGAAAAAAAATGTTATTTCCAAATTTGTACAAAAAGTTTCATTTTTGAATCAGCTAGTTTTATTGACTATAAAAACCATATCTGTCAAGACCCTCAATTTCCAGCTGCTGTTGAAATTGTGCAAAAGTATCTACTTGTCTTACCATTAGTGTTCAATATATTTGCTGAAAATAAATAATAAAAAAAAAAGAAAATAAATTTTACATAAGAACAGGATTCAATTCTGTGTGCTTTCATCAAGTTTTCTCTGTTTGGAAAGAAAATGAAAGATTATGGTTCTTTTTTTTGTTTTGTTTTCAAAAAGAGTTACCTTAACCAAAGATTTCCATGTTTTCTCTGAAAACAGATAAGGGTTAGGTAAAATAGATGTGTAATCACATCTGTGTTAATTTAGCTTTGTAATGGTTTCTGTAGAGAGGCTGATAGAGTCCTACAGGGTACCATTTCCAGGGGACAGCCAGTAGAAATACGTGTGCTTATTGCTAAATAATCTTTGCAAGAAAGTATTAAACACTGAAACTTGAAAAAAGAATGCCTGTGAACTTATTCTGTACATTGAGGGACACGTCTTGCTGTATGAATGAGAATAACCATTAGGTACATGCAGCAATGTGCAGAAATTCTTTGTATGTGAGCTTTACTGGGAAAATTAAAAATGTAATATGCCTTCACTTTGGTTCATTTTCATTGTGTAGTCCTTCGTTGTGTTAGTACCACTTGGCTTTGGGGTTTCAGCTAGAGCACATATAGGGATCAAAATGGTACTCTGCACGTGTGTTGGGAAGATCGGATAAAAACAGAGGACAGACACAACTCTTCTAAACTTGTGTGTGCATTTCTTTAGTGGAAAATAACAGTGATTTAAAGAGGTGTTGTGATTTAAGGGGTAGGTTTTTTCTCCCTTGAGGAGAGTATGTTAATGGAGTTTATATTACTGCTGAGACCAAACTTATATTTTATTTACAATTTCAATTTTTGATCTTAGGAATTTAAAGCTGACTGACCACATCTCCTGAGGAAAAAAGAAAAAGATGCATTGTTAATACTACTTCATTCTGTACCAGTATACCATGAGAAGTCCACCTGGATTCAATGAATTTCCTTAAAAATACACTGCTTTAGACAAAAACCTGGTCCTTTTCAAACATGAGACGTTAATACTTCAACATCTTATTTACTTTTTAGTATGGAAACAAATGCACAATGCTTTATAACAAGACGATGAGTAATTATTAAATAAATGTATAATTTATATGAAATTATTTGTGTCTTTCTGTAAAAGCATCTGACTCCTCATATCCACACTGTAAAAGGTGCAGAATCAAATATTTGTACTCAAAATGTGCAACATCAAGGCAAGTTCCATCTATGTTACTTTCACAAGCTGTTTTAGGAATTGAGTTCCTTATAGTAAATCCATGAAGTTTTAGTTGGTGCCACAGCCTTTGCCAGCAATGCTTGCTAAGGAGACAGGAGTAGGCCAGAACTTGAAAGTAAGATGGAAAAGAGGGTCTCATTTACATTCAAAAGGTGTGAAATCGAACCTCTGACTAATGAGACATTTTGATAATCTCATTAATCTCATTTTGATAATGCTCATTCAGAGCAAAGTTACCAAATGTAACCTGGAGATCTCCAGCAAGAGGGAAAAACCTCTCTTTATAAAGACAAGCACAGCACCCGTTTCCACACCCTGAGTAGCAACGGTCAGGACACCTCCCTGGAAATCCACCTCCTCAATGTCTACACAGTTCAAGAAGTGTCATTTGGAAGCACTGTGCAGAGAAAGATTTCTGCAATCTTGAAGACATTTGCAGAGAATGAGATAAGTATTGGGACACTGCTTAATGTGGGTCAAGTGCATGAAAACTGTAACGGAACATGATGAACTTCTGGGTGTGCCTAGGATATTCCAGAAGATGCAAGCCCAGTTCCTTATAGAAGCTGCATATCAGACACAAACTGTTTGTTTGTGTTTTCATAGTAATTACGATACATGAACATGTGAAAATGAAAATACAAAACCTTAAAGGATTATGAATGTCCTGGCCACAGTCATTCAATCTAGCACACATTCAAGGCTGTGAAATGACTAGTAACCACAGCATCAGTGGACCCTGATCACACTCAAAATGGGAGAAGGTACCTGCACATCTAAAGCAAAAGCAGTCTCCTGTGATAATTGGATAAACCCTATGGCATTATCACCCAGTTTTAGAGGCAAGACTGCTATGTAATGCATCACTGCCACTTCTTGGGCTTTTTCTGGAGCTTTCCAACAAGTCAAGGTCCAGTTGAAACTTTTGAGCTTTTAAGAGCTGGCTAGATTACAGCTAGAGGGACTGAGGCTTCTGGCCAATTTATCCATGATTCACAGAGATTAGGCACCATCAAAGCTCTCCAGGACCCTGCAGCTAAGAAGCACCCACTGAGAGATGATTTTGGCACTGTGCAGGCCTCTGAGCCTTTTACAGGTGAATATTAACAAATAAAAAATGTCAGAAAAAAGGTTGTAAGATAAGACTTTTTTACTCATTACATACTTAAATAAAGGTTGTAAGATAAGACTTTTTTTACTCATTACATACTTAAATAAATTTTCCCCCTAAATACAATATGTAAACTTTTTTTTTTTTTTAAGCACAGAATCCAAAGTTTCCATTCAACATGAAATATTTATACCTGAGAAATAAATTAGGAAGGATGTCATGCCTCTTAGTAGTACTGTGTCAATTAAAGTTGCTGAGGAAAGGCCATTAACATGCTGGGTGTTCAACTATAAATTACCTATACTATCTGCTTTGACCAATCTTCACGATAAGCCAGTGGGAAGTTCATTAGCAGGTCATCAAGAAAGATTCAGTGATCAGCTAATGACCAACTGTGACCATTAATGGGAAGGCCTGTTATACCAGAGCTCACAGCTCTTTGCAGAGAGCAATGAAACTCACTTGGTGGAGCAGAAGATGCTCACAGCTGCAGGCACCTGTGAGTAATGGGTAGAAGCTGGAGGGAAATACTGTGAGCAGACCTTGCTCTCTGATCCAGAGCTGCCCTCATGTGAGCAAGAGTGTGCTGTAGATGGGCTACATGCTGGTGGATGAAAAGCTGAACATGAGCCGGCAGTGTGCACTGGCAGCCCAGAAAGCCAACTGTATCCTGGGCTGTATCAGGAGAAGTGTGGCCAGCAGGTCGAGGGAGG